CTCTTTCTCAAGCGTATTTATCTCCTTTTTTCCATTACGCTCTTTTTCAAGCGTAAAATTAACCCCCCTTGGAAAAGTGCTCTTGTTTTCAAGCGTATGTCATTTTACGCTTGAACCCAAGCTGAGAAAATTTTACGCTTGAAAAGCAGCGGCGTAAGGTTACGCTCTGGTTTTACCAGTGCACCAGGTGCGACCGCGGCGGTGGCGCACAGGTACAGACCTGCTTCCAGGACCCGTGACAATGTCCCACACTGTTAAAAATCCACTGTAATATTACAACACAATCACCTACAGTAATGCTGTTATATAACAACAGTCTTGTTTTGTGTCTAAACGGGAAACCCATCCAGAAACAACACTTTCGTTTCAAAACAACTTCCTTGTCAAGTAACGATAATTTTATCGTGATTCAAAACAGTTGTGTTGTCGTTGAACAGGTTTCATGTTTAGAAAAAGCCTTTTGCAATCTTAAAACATATGTTCTTGTCAGGTTACAGGGGTCTTGTTTAATAACAGCACGATGAGATCAACACAAACGTAGCGAAGACTTCATCGAAGACTCCAAAGAAGTATTGTTTTATAACAATCGAACTGTCAGAAAACAGCACCGAGGGCTACAACATGCTTGTAATAAAACAACTCGTGTTGCTATCAAACTTAACAGCATAAGTGCTGTTAATTTACAGCACTTTTTCTAACAGTGCAGTCACGGGAGGAGCGGGTCCGGAAGGGGGGTTAGGTTGGGTTCGGCTCCGCCACGGAGACAGGGGCGGGTCCAGGGTAGGTTAGGCCCCTCGGGCGACTTAGGTAGGTTGGGTTAGGCCCCTCACCTTACCCTCCTAAAAAATTAGGTTAGGTCGGGTTAGCCCCGACCAAGAAGGCGAACATTAGGTTGACTTAGGTTTGACCCACACAAGATAGATAACCTTAGGTTGACTTAGGTTTGTCCCACACAAGATGGCCGGGGTGACAATCCCCCTGCAAGATGGCGGCGGGTGACAATCCCCCTGCTATACTACTGCGGCCAAAATTCGAGATGCATTTTGAGCTCCTCGAGTCGCTAAATAGGACTCGAACCGAGCGTGTGAACCCACCAATGGATTGCTCTCCGCACGAGGAATCCATTGGCGTTCGCTTCGAGTCCTGTTTAGCGACTCCGGAGCTCGGTGCTCTCCGCGGGATTTTGTAGCGTTCTTTGACCTCGCTCGTCGTTAGCCTCTTGACGAGTTTCATAGCTCTGTTGAGTGAGTGGCGTTGCCGCGGTGCTCTCTCTCTCTGACTTCACCAGTGTTCATTGTTGGGCTGCTCCGCCCAGGCTGTTGGCGGAGCTCTGGCTCGGTTCTATTTATGGACTGGGCAACAGTGGCACTTGCCAGTGGGGTGTTCGAGGTCCACAGTAAAGGGGGCGCATTCAATGCATTGTTGAAGGCCTCTGGCCGTGGCGCGGGTTGCCTAGCCACCATGGGGCCCTGAGAGACATGGTACCAAAGCTTCAAACTGTCAGGCGTCACCAAGAAACGACTCTGCGAGAGAGACCGAGCGTTGAATACCTGGGCAGCCGATCGGCTGAATGTTGAATCAGGCAGCCGACTCATCCGAAGAGTGACGGTTCGACTCACACTGTTAAAAAAAGTGCTGTAAATTAACAGCACTTATGCTGTTAAGTTTGATAGCAGCACGACTTGTTTTATTACAAGCATGTTGTAGCCCTCGGTGCTGTTTTCTGACAGTTCGATTGTAATAAAACAATACTTCTTTGGAGTCTTCGACGATGTCTTCTCAGCATTTGTGTTGATTTCATCGTGCTGTTATAAAACAAGACCCTTGTAACCTGATAACAATATATGTTTTAAGATTGCAAAAGGCTGTTTCTAAACATAAAACCTGTTCAACGACAACACAACTGTTTTGAATCACGATTACATTATTGTTACTTGACAAGAAAGTTGTTATGAAACGAAAGTGCTGTTTCTGGATGGGTTTCCCGTTCAGATACAAAACAATACGGTTGTTATTTAACAGCATTACTGTAGGTGATTGTGTTGTAATAATACAGTGGATTTTTAACAGTGCACCCCTCTGCCCGTCCTTGGAAAGGGGAGGACACAGGACTGTGGGCGCTGCCTCCCTTGTCTCTTCTTGTCATGGTGGGGGTGGGGGCACGGTGACCAAGGCAATGCCCCCGTCGAAATCGGGGTGGCTGCCGGTGAGGCGTCGGCGTGGTCAAGGCGGCCAAGGCTATGACCCCGTCGAAATCGGGGTGGCTGGTGGTGTGGTCAAGGCGGCCAAGGCTATGACCCCGTCGAAATCGGGGTGGCTGCCGGTGAGGCGTCGGCGTGGTCAAGGCGGCCAAGGCGTTGACCCCGTTGGGCGGCCGATAGGCGGGCCTGCCTCACACTGTTAAAAATCCACAGTAATATTACAACACAATCACCTACAGTAATGCTGTTAAATAACAACAGTATTGTTTTGTGTCTGAACGGGAAACCCATCCAGAAACAGCACTTTCGTTTCATAACAATTTCCTTGTCAAGTAACACCAATGTAGTCGTGATTCAAAATAGTTGTGTTGTCGTTGAACAGGTTTCATGTTTAGATACAGCGTTTTGCAATCTTAAAACATATATTGTTGTCAGGTTACAAGGGTCTTGTTTAATAACAGCACGATGAAATCAACAAAAATGTTGGGAAGACATCGTCGAAGACTCCAAAGAAATATTGTTTTATTACAATCGAACTGTCAGAAAACAGCACCGAGGGCTACAACATGCTTGTAATAAAACAAGTCGTGCTGCTATCAAACTCAACAGCATAATGCTGTTAATTTACAGCACTTTTTTTCACAGTGCAGCGCCGGATGGGCCAGATGGCGCCGGGGGCGGATGCACGTGCTGCGCCACCGGAACATGGCGCCGCACCAACTGGCCGTGACAGGCGCACCGTGGGTTGGCGCAGTGCACGGCGTCTTGGATGACGGACGCCACGTCCTCCGGCGTCACAGTGAGGCAGGCGGGGAAACGTCCGTGTTGGTGATGCCTCTCAAACTCCTCCAACTCGCCGTGACAGGCACACCGTGGGTTGGCGCAATCGAGGGAGTCTTTTATTAAGGACGCCATGTCCTCCGGCGTGACTCTGAGGCACGCAGGGAACAGTCCATGGTGATGACGCCTCTGAAACTCCTCCAGTGTCGAAGACGCCGCAGTCGGTGAAGGTGGACGTTCGCCGCGCTGCCACCGCCCCCGCTCCTTCAGCACGACCATGACCTCCTCCACGGCCTTCTTGCATAGGCGGATGGATGCCACGCCGCTGTAAGACGATAAGACGTTAGAGAGAGGGAGAGAGAGAGGAGAGGGGGGAGGGAGAGAGAGAGGACAAAGAGGGGGGGGAGGAGAGGAGGGGGAGGATTACCGAAACTGCGAGCGAAAATCTGTCTCCGTGTCGCTGTCCCGGCACCATATTTAACCTCTAAATATCTCGGCTTCTAGATATTTTTCGGCCAAACGCTTTTGGATTTAGTCATCCCACTACTAGACCTACGATTTGCGTAAGTTTCGTCCCGATCCGAGACCATGCCGTTTTGTGACTGACTCAGTTGGCGTGGAATCACCCAGCTATACATACCACAGGTAGAGGATGCACGCTGCCATGAACCAAATGGAGGAGAGTGCTGCTCTGTACACTGGTAAAACGAAAGCGTAACTCTATGCTTGAGGGTCATTCCATGTGAAATCGACAAGGTTCAAATCGACCAGTGCTCCGATTTTGATGAAACTTGCAGCGATTGTTGGTCTTACACTGTTAAAAAAGGTGCTGTAAATTAACAGCACTTATGCTGTTAAGTTTGATAGCAACACGACTTTGTTTTAATACAAGCATGTTGTAGCCCTCGGTGCTGTTTTCTGACAGTTCGATTGTTATAAAACATTACTTCTTTGGAGTCTTCGATGAAGTCTTCGCAACATTTGTGTTGATCTCATTGTGCTGTTATTAAACAAGACCCTTGTAACCTGACAACAATATATGTTTTAAGATTGCAAAAGGCTGTGTCTAAACATGAAACCTGTTCAACGACAACACAACTGTTTTGAATCACAATAACATTATTGTTACTTGACAAGGAAGTTGTTTTGAAACGAAAGTGTTGTTTCTGGATGGGTTTCCCGTTTAGGCACAAAACAAGACTGTTGTTATTTAACAGCATTACTGTAGGTGATTGTGTTGTAATATTACAGTGGATTTTTAACAGTGTATGGTCCCATTGAAGTTGCCAAAATATTTTGGTCGAAATGTCAAAGGGGTCTGAGTAGTGCACGATTCAATTTTTTTCACTTTTTGTGAATGGGTATCCGTTTTTTGCTAATATCTCCGGAACTATTCGTCGTACGACAAAAATGAGTACACCGTTGGAAAGAGGAGAAAAAACTGAATAAAATCAAAAAAAACTATTTTTCTTGGAGAAAAAAATTTCTTTTATACTAAACTCAGACTTTCAAAGTTATGTTTGAAACTGTTCCCCTTCATCAAAATTGACATGCTATGGCTCAAAAAGTAGCTTTACCCTTCCCCTAAACGAAAATGTCAATCATACAAAGTACTTTTTTTCGTTTGGGAGAACGAGCGATTCCCGTGGACCTCTGCACTGGATCCGGGCCTACCCTCTGCCTGAACGGTGCACAACGGCCCGGCGCTGTGGCACCGCGGTGTCCTGCCACCCACCCCCATCCCTTTCCGCAGTTCCCAGAGCAGAAGTAGGGGCGCCTGGAGGGTAGGCTGCACCCCGCACGCCGCCCCGGGCTCCCACGGTCACCGCCAAGCAGGTAGGCAACTCATCCTACGTTACTACCCCTCTTCCCCTGTCCCCTCCCCCTACTCCATCTCCTTCTTGACCTTCAAATTTTCAGTATGGCCCTAGGCGAGAGTTTGTGTTGCACATTGTCAAATGTTTGTTACCAGACTGAGATTTCTTTCAAATTGTTAGGAAATTTAAATCGAACACAAACTTTAAAATGCTGGGTGTTTATTCAAAGTTGTTTTTATACATAAAAATTATCTGACCTTCCTCTGAACCTTTAAAGTAGTATAACTGTAGCTGCAAGTTATACCTTGCTTCAAAACATATTTTTTTTCTTAGATTTTAATTTTACATCTGCTGCCTTAGCATCACTTACTCGAAGTTTCACAATTGTCCCTTTGGCTTGAAAGTACGGATTAACTAGACTTACAATGTCATGTAGACTAACAATTATAACAATATCAGTAAACTTGTAACTTCTTGGTTGTCCAGTAGCTTCCATAACTTGAACTGCTCTGCCAATGCATGTCTTTTTGGCGCATGTGGTCTTCCAACGCCGACTGGCTGTGAAAGTCGTGTCCGCACACGGGGCAGCGGAGTGTGTGGACATGGTGATATGCTTCTTGCACCACTACCGCCGATGACGTAATAATTAGCAAGAATTGTGCCCCCTGTGCGGACGTGTCGGGGTGGAGCGGTCGAATTCACCCTGGGGAACAATCATAGTGCAATACTGTATAGGAGCAAACCATGATCAATTGTGTCTTTAAAAAAATACTTACTCTGCATGAGTTGTTTGGCGGGGCACTCGGCCACCGCCTTCCCCAGGAGCCACTGTTTTGTTTTCCCAGGTGGAGTCATCTTCCGGTGGCGTGGACAGATAAGTGGGGCGCACTCGCCCTTGCCACTAAAGACTTGGTCGGGGACGTTGCACGCTCTCACCACCGCGATGAAATCGGTTATAGGGGCATTCCAGACCCAATTAGCAGGCCGCGTAGGTGACCACTGCCGATTTCGTTCCTTTTGTGGTCAAATGTTACCTACCACTAGGGTAAGATGACCCTAAATTTTTAAGGTCGAAATATGAATACTTCAGGAGATATCGCAATTTGAAATTTTCTCTGAAAAATCTTTTAGTGGTTTTGTACAAAGTGTCAACTTTTGCGCGAATCCCTCCTGCTTCTTAAGTTTTCGACTCGGAAGGTCTAGATCACTGCTCCTTACGTAAAATTCATCAAGGAATCAGAATCCGTCGCCAAAAAGCACCTACGATCGAGTTTAGAGGTCAAAAAGTGGCCTCAAACACAAAATTTTGTTATTTTTGTGCCTAATTTCAAGGCAAAAATGTAAAGGGAAGCGGGTCTAAACATAAACTTCCCAATAGTGGAAAATGTTCCTTTAGACTCCCTCTAAATAGCTGCGGCTCGAAAAAGATGGTTATAGGTCAGGATCAGGCAACACAGCCTTCAAATTAGAGAGCGAATTTCAGTGAATTTAATAAATTATGTTAGCAGTAGGGTGCGTCGATATACACGACTTTTTGACTACGACTCTTGGAAAGCGCTCTAGGTTGATGATTTTTTGGTGATGATTCCAAAACTGACCTCGGTACTACGATAGGACAACTTCTTCATGTCCCTATTGGGTGTTAAGTGCCAAAAAACGCGTAGTTTCAAGAGTTTTTCTTGGGTTTTGGTCCCGCACACCATCCCAAACTGTCGGGGCGACTGTTGCATGGTCTGTTGGACATCACGTCCACAAAAGACAACTCTTGCAGTGTGGCCGGACTTTCGAACACCTTCCATGTAAGATCCAGACGTCAATTTTTATGCTATTCTTACTAATTTCTTCGTTATTTTGCCAAAGCTTCACTGTATTTTGACAGAGGTGTTATGTAACCAAATAAATCAATTTGGCACTGCGACCTTGAGACTCGTGTCAATAGAGCATTCTAGTCGACCACGATCGAAGAACTAGAAGAAGAACAAATCTGGATCTCGCATCGGCAACAAACTTTGCAGACTACTGCGAGTGGACTAGATTTAGAGTTGTCAGAGGCGTATATTCTCCAAAAGCACTTTCGTCTGTTTCAAATATTTTTTAACCCAGGAATTGAGGATATTTGTCGATATTTCTCCTTGAAACCAGGCTCGCCACGTACTTTCTTTCTTCCCGCCTTCCGGTTTTGTTCTTCTTTTCGTTTTTCAATCGCCAACGACTAGAATGCTGTATTTAAAAGTATAAGGGACTTTCTTAAAGGTACAAACACCTTTCCAAGCTAACGTAAGACCTGCAGGCCCAATGCAAGCCCATAGGGCGATTCCATGCCAAACCAACGAACTCTTGGAAATTCATCTCCTCGATTTTGATGAAACTTTTTTTAGTGGTAGGGGTCATTATGAAAAGATCCCATATCAAAGGGTTTTGCGATATGTCACCCCGTTTGGCTGTAATACCTTGGCAAAAATTTCACTTTGGTCAAAATCATGATATTTTTTTTACTTGTCTCCGTACTACCTGAAAGTTTTTAGATTTTTTCCGACAGTGGTTCTTTACGTAAAAAGAGCTGGGGAACACGATGGAAATAGTTTCGAGACGATTGGGTGAAGTTTTGATGTCGGTTTTTCCATTTAACGTAATTTTTTTCCGAAAAATCGAGGTTTCCAAAATAGCTCATCTTCGATTTCGATGTGACTTTCCTCACATGATTCTCTCACATATTGAAAGAAAATCCTAAAAGGATTTGGTCGGCCCACCGTAAGTTTTTTTTCTGCACTTGAAAAGATGTATCATTTTGGGCGTTTTTCTTGAATTCTCGAACCTACTTTCTGAGTTTGCGTCCAATCTTATGTCTCGTGAGGACATAAATTTTGTCTTGTCGAGACGAATCCATTGATATATAGAAAAGTCATTTTGGACAATTTTGAAAATTCCTCCATATTTCAGTATGAGAGAAACTAGGGTAAATTTTCAAAATTGTCCAAAATGACTTTTCTATATATCAATGGATTCGTCTCGACAAGACAAAATTTATGTCCTCACGAGACATAAGATTGGACGCAAACTCAGAAAGTAGGTTCGAGAATTCAAGAAAAACGCCCAAAATGATACATCTTTTCAAGTGCAGAAAAAAAACTTACGGTGGGCCGACCAAATCCTTTTAGGATTTTCTTTCAATATGTGAGAGGATCATGTGAGGAAAGTCACATCGAAATCGAAGATGAGCTATTTTGGAAACCTCGATTTTTCGGAAAAAAATTACGTTAAATGGAAAAACCGACATCAAAACTTCACCCAATCGTCTCGAAACTATTTCCATCGTGTTCCCCAGCTCTTTTTACGTAAAGAACCACTGTCGGAAAAAATCTAAAAACTTTCAGGTAGTACGGAGACAAGTAAAAAAAATATCATGATTTTGACCAAAGTGAAATTTTTGCCAAGGTATTACAGCCAAACGGGGTGACATATCGCAAAACCCTTTGATATGGGATCTTTTCATAATGACCCCTACCACTAAAAAAAGTTTCATCAAAATCGAGGAGATGAATTTCCAAGAGTTCGTTGGTTTGGCATGGAATCGCCCCATACAGTTATCACCTGGCGCGCAGCAAGAGCGGCTGAGGCCTTTCGGGGAATTTCTGGCACTGTAATTCAAAGGGTGAGACATCGCACCAATTTTTGGCAGAACAAAATGTATCACCGAAAAAGGGTGATACTAAAATGTATCACCGATAAAATGGTCGTACACGCATGTATCACCAAAAAAAGGTCGTACACAAATTTATCACCGAAAAAAAGGTGAGAAAAGGCGAGATTGGCCCTTGTTTTCCTGGGGAAGTATCACCCTTTTTCCGGTGATACATTTGTGTACGACCTTTTTTTTCGGCAGTACATGCGTGTATGATCATTTCTTCGTTGATACATTTGAGTATCACCCTTTTCCGGGGTGATACAGTTATGTCTCAACCCTCAGAGAGTGAGATGTATCACTATTTGATTTTCAGTGTGCTAACCCCCCCCCCCCCTCTCTGTTTCCGTTCATCTCTCTCCTCCCTACCCAGTACCCAGACCCCATGCAGGGGTTGCAATGCGTCCTACCTGTCCTTGCAGTCCTTCTTACAACCTCCGGTCATGGTACAGCCAGACCGGGTCGCTAAAATACTTTGTCATTTAAAAACAGGCAAATTAACGAAGAAATTAATAAGAATAGCATAAAAATTGACGTCTGGAACTCACATGGAAGGTGTCCGATAGTCCGGCCACACTGCAAGAGTTGTCTTTTGTGGACGTGATGTCCAACAGACCATGCAACAGTCGCCCCGACAGTTTGGGATGGTGTGCGGGACCAAAACCCAAGAAAAACTCTTGAAACTACGCGTTTTTTGGCACTTAACACCCAATAGGGACATGAAGAAGTTGTCCTATCGTAGTACCGAGGTCAGTTTTGGAATCATCACCAAAAAATCATCAACCTAGAGCGCTTTCCAAGAGTCGTAGTCAAAAAGTCGTGTATATCGACGCACCCTACTGCTAACATAATTTATTAAATTCACTGAAATTCGCTCTCTAATTTGAAGGCTGTGTTGCCTGATCCTGACCTATAACCATCTTTTTCGAGCCGCAGCTATTTAGAGGGAGTCTAAAGGAACATTTTCCACTATTGGGAAGTTTATGTTTAGACCCGCTTCCCTTTACATTTTTGCCTTGAAATTAGGCACAAAAATAACAAAATTTTGTGTTTGAGGCCACTTTTTGACCTCTAAACTCGATCGTAGGTGCTTTTTGGCGACGGATTCTGATTCCTTGATGAATTTTACGTAAGGAGCAGTGATCTAGACCTTCCGAGTCGAAAACTTAAGAAGCAGGAGGGATTCGCGCAAAAGTTGACACTTTGTACAAAACCACTAAAAGATTTTTCAGAGAAAATTTCAAATTGCGATATCTCCTGAAGTATTCATATTTCGACCTTAAAAATTTAGGGTCATCTTACCCTAGTGGTAGGTAACATTTGACCACAAATGACGAAATCGGCAGTGGTCACCTACGCGGCCTGCTAATTGGGTCTGGAATCGATGGGGGGGCATTCCAGACCCAATCTTGGTTTGAAGTATGACCTCCTGCTCTTCCTCCTGTTCCTCCTGTTGTTCGGAAGGTCCTACAAGTTCAAATTTCGGTAAGTAATACAGTAACTTAACTACGTTTAATTTCCGGGTCCCATCTCACTAAGGGATGGTGGGATGCGACATGCATGTCACATCTCACTATCCTTTAGTGGGATGGGACATGCATATCGCATTCTACCTGACTATAGTGGGTACACTCTACCTTGCGACGGAGCGGAAGGCAGAGACGCTGCAGGATGAGGCACTGCAGGAGGAGTCTCGTTGCTAGGTCCCTGTGGCACTCTAGGAATTAAAGCATGGTGGGATTTGATTCCATCAATGTCAAAAGCTGTCTCAAATCTCACAAGTAAAGCCTTTTCATTTTCAATAACTTCTTCTTTCGGAACCCATTTAGCAGTCACTCCTTGAATGTTTTTAGACACCCAATCATAGAAATCATATGCAATTGTTATTTGTGGGTCTTTTGCTGTTAAGCGTAGGCAATGCAACATTGTAGTATGTTTGATCATGCCGCCCACACCATCACAGGCAGTTTTTCCATGGCTCGTAGCATAAAAGTGCCATTCTGCAGGTACTCCAAAATCCCTTTCATGAAACCATACATTGGCGGCAGCTTTTTTATTTTTGTACTGAGCAGCACAACCGTCTGAAAAATATTTGACTTAAGCCAGCTTTATCTTGAGGTCCTCAGTTATATGACGGATCAATTTTTTCTGAAATGTATGCACTGCAGCAGTACTATGGTCCAAGTGATCTGATATCAAAACAAATGCTGAGTGGCATACTTTGCCCTCAGCATCTTTATAATAAATCAAACAGGGATGCAATGTCGCCTGTTTATTATTAAAGTACCCCCCCTGGGAGCTATTTTGTACAACAAAAGAGAAATTTTCTGGAAAGTCAACATTAACAACAACTTCACCATCTTTTAAATTTTCAATGAGCTATTTAGACCGAAAGAAGAAGAGAAAGAAATTGCAAGATGGCCGCCGCTAGAACATAACAAACCCTCACTTGTTTTCTGCTCGGGAGCGTCTGCGCATGCGCAGAGCAGAAAACATAGGAAAACAAGTGAGGGTTTGTTATGTTCTAGCGGCGGCCATCTTGCAATTTCCTTTTCTTCTTCTTTCGGTCTAAATAGCTCATTGATTCCTTATAGAAATTTGCTTGCACTTTGCTAATAAAATCATGGGGTATGAGACTTTCAATCTGCGATATAAACTCAGAAATAAAATCATCAGTAGATTTACTTAAAGTTACAATATTTGCCCGGTCTGTGGACTCCCACTGGTTGTAAACCACAGTGGAAATCATTTCAGAGTCAAAATAAACTTCCAATTTTTCCTGTAAAACAGTGGAATCACAACAGTCATTACATCTTCGAAAAAAACAGTCTTCACTAGGCTCTGAGCATAAAAGCAACTTTTTGCACGCTTTTATATTTTCTAATCCAGCTTCACTTAGATTTCCCGCTTCAAACATAAGTTCTGGATTCTGATGATAGGTGCACACACAAATCACATGAGTCCCGGCACTACCAGCTAATACACACTCTTTTGGTCTCAGTTCACAAAATTTAGCTAAAGAGACTTTGTGATCAGGGTGTTCTTCTTTAAACTTTTGATGCAAGCAACTGAGAGTAGACAGCACTAGTCTTTTAGTTTTCTTCAGTCTCTTCCCGTCCACTAAAACACTCAGTACATCTTTGGCTCCAGGGAGAGGCCGACTTATGTCGTCCCTGTAGTAGAATTTGGTGATCAGCTCCACTGTCTCAGGTGAAAGTTTGCGTCCCACTTTAGGACCCGGGCCACACAGAATACCCTTGTCTTGCACTAGTAGACGGCTTTTCCTCGCCATGTAGTTGGATACCCCAAATGTGCTTTCAATCCTGGAAATGCTCCAACTTTTTGGTACAACTGATAAAGCTAATAATTTTTTATCGGGCTGGGGATGACAATCAATAAATTGCTGTAGTTGGCCTATTATTTCTCTGAAGTATACTGCATCTTCATCCTCAGTTAGTTGTTGATCAGAAAATTTTGTCAGCGCTGCTCTTATTTTCTTCATAACTTTACGCCCATAGCTCTTCTGAGTCTTTAATTTCCTTTCATTAACAGGAGAGAATCCAAGAGAGGACAGCCAAGTATTTAATCCGTCAATACTCTCCTGAAAAAACTCTTCTTTAGAAGCCTTTTTATCAGCAGGTACAGTGGGAGTTGTAATATCACTGGGGGCCAAAGTAGACCCTACACTAGGTGACGAAAATATAGGAGGGTTGGAAATTGAAGCCGGGTCAGGAGCGTTGCTTGAAGATTCTTGAGCAGCCTTTTCTGCGGCACATTTTTCAGCAGCTTTGATTTTAGCGTTCAGGTCAATCTTGCACTTGACACACACTTTCTTGCCGGGCACCAAAGCAAGTCCAATAGTTTTGGCACTGTCCCGCATTTGGAGTGTAATAACATGCAATTGAGGAGTGCCAGTTTTTTTCTTTTTGGCTGGAGGGCCATCATGAACAGATGTTGACTGATGAAGACAGCAGTTTTTCTGGTGTGCTTCAAAGCGGTGAATGAACTTAGTGAAATGTCCATCACAAACATACTGCAAACTCTTTCTGCAGCCACTTCTGATCTTGAGCAAACGAATCCTTTCTGGAGATAGGCTGGCTCTTGCAGTGAAATCCCCAGAGCAGGCACCAACATCAGGAAGATGTTGTACCTTTCTCAGGAAACACTTCTTGGTGTCTGCTCGGCCCATTGTGTAGGGGGAACCTGAACCACAAAGAAACCAAACCTCAAAATAAAACAAGAAGCGTCATCAAACCAAAGCACAATCCTATAATATCAGATTTTGTAAAAAAGAGAAAGAACTCGTACACAAGAAAAACGGACCTTTTCAGGGCATAAAATCGACTCAAAGTCAATGCTCAAAAAATATTTACTCCAACAAGTAGTCGGTGCAGAAAGTAAACAAACCAAGACAAAGGAACAACAACAAGTTCGTCTTGTCGCCACAGCCCAAACACTGGCAGCACCGTCGGGGGGAATGCCGTTTTCGCATCAACTTCGGCTGCACTTTGGCTGCGCCACGAAGCAAGGCTCGGGGTGACTAGGAAGGGTTGCCTACCTGCTTGGCGGTGACCGTGGGAGCCCGGGGCGGCGTGCGGGGTGCGGCCTACCCTCCAGGCGCCCCTACTTCTGCTCTGGGAACTGCGGAAAGGGATGGGGGTGGGTGGCAGGACACCGCGGTGCCACAGCGCCGGGCCGTTGTGCACCGTTCAGGCAGAGGGTAGGCCCGGATCCAGTGCAGAGGTCCACGGGAATCGCTCGTTCTCCCAAACGAAAAAAAGTACTTTGTATGATTAACATTTTCGTTTAGGGGAAGGGTAAAGCTACTTTTTGAGCCATAGCATGTCAATTTTGATGAAGGGGAACAGTTTCAAACATAACTTTGAAAGTTTGAGTTTAGTATAAAAGAAAAATTTTTTCTCCAAAAAAAATAGTTTTTCTTTGATTTTATTCAGTTTTTTCTCCTCTTTCCAACGGTGTACTCATTTTTGTCGTACGACGAATAGTTCCGGAGATATTAGCAAAAAACGGATAACCATTCACAAAAAGTGAAAAAAATTGAATCGTGCACTACTCAGACCCCTTTGACATTTCGACCAAAATATTTTGGCAACTTCAATGGGACCATAAGACCAACAATCGCTGCAAGTTTCATCAAAATCGGAGCACTGGTCGATTTGAACCTTGTCGATTTCACATGGAATGACCCTTGAGTCAAGCATAAAGTTACGCTTGAAGACGTTACGCTTGAAATCAAGCATAGGCTAGGAATTCCCCCATGCATTTAGATAGGGGAAATCTTGACGGATGAGCCTGTTACGCTTGAAAGCAGTGGGTAATACTACGCTTTAGTTTTACCAGTGTATCATGGCGAACTGGAAAGAAAAGAATGAATAAGAACACTCTAAAAAAAATTATGAAATTTCATATCCAAAGGAGTCTAAAATTTCATAATCACGTTCTAAACCTCAATTTTCATATCCTGCGTATGAAATTTAAGATCGTGTAATGAAACCTAAGATTTGGGTTATGGATTTTAAGATTAACTGGTTATAAATTTTTAGAACAGAGTAACTTATAACTCCGGTTCTTAAAATCTAGATTTTCGTTTTGAAAGTTTATAACGCTTGCCGATTTTAGAGCAAGGTTCTGAAATTTTTAACCGTTTAGTCCTGCTGCCTACTCCTTTATTCATGGTTAGGTTAATAAATAGGTGAATTTTTCATTTTTTAACGGCATGTGTTAACAATTTTTGAACCGCTATGGTAGGAGTCCTAGGGGCGGTCTACTAACTGAAAAGCGTACCTTTTATGCACTAACTGGAGCAAGCACGCTTTTGCTTGCGTATGCCTACTACTGTTAAGTGCATACATGCCATATGCACGGTATAACATGCATGAGTGCATGCTTGGCGGGCATGCGCTTGTTGGAGCGTACTTGCAGGCATGCTCCAGTTAACGCATGTTCAAAATTTGTGTGTAGTATTTCCCAAGAGGCTGTAAATCGCGTCCCTTGCAATGCCTGACCGGCCACCGTCCTCCGGGCCGAGCCGAGCCGCAACGAACCGAGCCGGCCGAGCCGAGCCGGGCCGAGCCGCCCCGAGCCGAGCCGTAGGGTGCCGAGTCGGCGGCGCTGCCTCCACGGAAAATCACCGCTCACCGGCCGGCCGGCCGAAGCTACCTGTGCCCGGCGAGGGGTCGCGTAATCCCTCGGCCGCACGGGATTTCGGCGACACTGCGTCACTTTTAGTGTGTCTTTGTCTCCAGTGCTGTGCACATCGTATCCAGTCCGCGTCCGCGTCACCGCAAGTTCGCGTCATCAATTTTGTTTCGCTGCACCGTTAGTGCGCGTAGTGCGTAGAGTGCAGTTAAAGTGTTGCTTGTGGTGCCGAACAGCCACCACTCGTGTTCAAGAGTTACAAGCTATTTTGGCGACCCTCGGAAAATGGACGTGTTTTCGCCAAAAGCGGTGTCACTGAGTGCTGTTATTCCATCTTCTTAACTGCAGGGACGGGCGATGAACGTGCGGGTGGCGTATTATATCAATTCGCTTCTCCTCTTTCATCCTCGTCCCCAAAGTAGTTTCTGCGTGTCGACCGAGTTTCCCCAAAGTGCATCTGGACCTTGTGCACTGCTGCGCCTCTGACTGTTTACAGCGTCGACTCAAGTTTTGCAGAAGTGCTGCACTACAATGCTTATTTCCGTTGGCTAGCTGCAATGACTTTCGATAATACTGAGTGTGGAAAGAAATCATATCTTTCTGAGATTTCATTATTTGTAACATCAAGAAAGGGAAATAAGTTTTAACTACACATTTTGTGGGCAGTAATGAAACTATTATCATGTTTCATAATATTGGTTGTAGAGATTCAGAACCAAATGTGAGTTTTCATAACACATTGATTCTGAAAATTAAACAGCTAGTTCTTACATTTCATAAACCACTTCTGAAAGTTTAGAACAGCAAGTTATGAAATTTAAGAACTTTTTGGATATGAAATTTAAGATCCATTGTTCTACAAATAACTTCAAATCCAGATTATGAAATTTAAGAAGCATTTTTTTTAGAGTGAACTTTGGAACAGGCATTTAGAACTGAAGCAAAAGAAAGAATAAGAAGTAATAGAACTCAACGATTACCTGGAGTATTGCTACGCCACTGGGGGTGCCGCCAAGGTGGTGTCTCAAGGGCCTCTGCTCGCTGGCACCAAGCATAAGGAGAATGCTCTACAGCATCATTGCGAACTGGAAAGAAAGAAAAGAATGAATGAGACCTTTAAAACATGCATTGAAACTAAAGCATAAGAAAGAATAAAAAGTAATAGCTCTTAATGATTACCTGGAGTGTTGCAATGCCACTGCGAAGCAGTACTCGTGCTGGCGGTTGCGCTGCTGCTGGCACAAGCAGGACCCGAGTAGCGGCCTCTGAAACCTAAATGAGAAAAAATTCGGGAAAGTTAAGAAACAGACATGGATTAACAATAGTAAGTGCAATAGAAAGATGCAAGGCGGAGAAGTTGTGATAAATTACACTGTAAAAATTATGTTGTGAATTTACGACGGATTATTTTACGAAGGTTTTTGGGAATGTCCAAAAGTGCACTGTAAATGTTTTTTTCCTACAGGAAGTTTTGTAAATCAACGGAAGTTCGTCGTTAATTTACGAAGGTTCTTAGTAAATTTACGAAGAAAAATCGTAAATGTACAAAGTTTGTTGTAAATTTACGAAGCCCTTCGTAAATTTACGACGGGCTTCGTTAATCTACGACGGGTCTTCGTAAATCTACGGCGGACCTTCGTAAATAAACGAAGGATCTGTTGGCAATTTTTTTGCCGAAGGATCAGTCGTTAATTCCAGACGTATAATTACGAAGGTTCTCTGTATATTAACGAAGGTTCTTTGTTTATTAACGAAGGTTCCCTGGAAATTTACGAAGGATCTTCGTAGATTTACGAAGGTGCTTCGTAAATTTCCATTGTGTTTGTAAAATCGACAGAGATCGTTCATAAAATTAACGAAGGTTTTTGTAAATATACGAAGACCTTCGTAAATTAACGAAGGAACCGTTGGCAATTTTTTTGCCGAAGGATCCGTCGTTTATTCCGGACATTAATTTTTACAGTGTACCTGGGCTGTCTGGCCACTGGCTCCAAGCAGAGGCTCCGTCGATTCGGGAGGGGTCATGACCATGGATTGGCACCGGAGACATCACCGCAAACTGGAAAGAAAGAAGACGTTTGAAAGTAAATGTAAGGTGCAGATGAAATAGGAAAGAAAGGATTTAAGTTGATCCGTGAAATAGGAAAGGGAATAAATTATACAAAAATATTAAAGGTGAGACGAGAGGAAAAGAAATAGTACCACTTGAGGAAGGACTTCCAGAGGCTGCAATTTGCAGAAGCACGTGAGCTTGGTGCAGGCATTGGTAACATGGTGGAAGTACAGCTTGGTCCAGCTGCTGTTGCGGGAATTGCTGGCAAGTGGGAAGCACTGGTACTTGCTGTTGCTGGCACCAGCAAGTCACACTGCACCCCGACCTCGACTGTGACAGGCTGGATAGTGTCAGTCTGAGTGCACAGGTCCCTCACTACTGTAATAGACTAGGGGTACGCTAGGGTGGCCCAAAAAAAATCAAAGTTTTTCCGATTGTCCAATTCCGCTCAAAAATCGATTCTAGAACGAAAAAAATTACCTCTCTTTTTTGCGTTTTGTGCTGAAACGATTTTGAATACCGGCTCTATATACGACTCTAAGGCTCCCCGAGCAAGCAAAAAGCTACTTTGAATTAAATGTGATGTTGGATATTTTGCCGGAGAGCCGACACTTTGAGAAAAACCTAAGACATCGAACCTATCTCCTAAAATGTGACAGTGAGAAAAAATATCCCAAATTTGAATTATGCCCAATTTAGCCAAAACGCTGAAACGAAAATTTTGGCGAGGTGCCACGGTGGCACCCTTGAAGCTAGAAGGTAGGACTCTCGCTGAAAATAACAAGAATCCGATTCTCTCAAAAGTCCGGTCGACCGGTTGCCGTCGGCAAAGTAGTTCCCGAGAGCGAGGGGGGTGGTCATGGTGCCCCAGTGGTCATGGTACCCCACCCTCCCTTAGTTCAGCAAAAGCGGGCAGAGCCCAAGCCACAGCAGTTGTGCAGTGCTCTCAATGATTGGGGGCTGTCAAACCATGTGGATGCTCTGTGCTCGGACACGGAAGCAACCAACACTGGACCATTTAATGGGGCTGCAAAGATCATTGAAGATACCCTTGAAAAAGAACTGCTGTACTTAGCTTGTCGGCATCATGTGCTGGAAATTCCTCCGGAGGCAGCGGTGAAAGTAGCCATGAGGGAGTTTTGTAGCAAGGACATGCCACTCTTTAAATTGTTCGTTCGTGTCTAGGACCTGGCTCTTCTTGATTCGAGCCATTCCAGAAAGGCTAGGGAAGGTGAAGGAGTGATCATCGGCTCGTCACGTGGATCGCTGACGAGAAAAACGGTCAAAAAGTGGGGACGGCGTCAAGCATGCGTTTGTAAGTGTGTACTTGCAAGCATGCATTTGTAAGTGTGTACTTGGCCAAGCATGCGTTTGTAAGTGTGTACTTGCAAGCACGCATTTGTAAGTGTGTACTTAGTAGACAGTTAGGTTTGCAGTGCATTTTTGAGTTCAGCTTCCAAAACCTGCAGGAAACATTTTAAAACTCAACTTGAAAATTTTGGTCTAAAATGACCTCATTTCGCAATTGAAACTTGCAATTTGCAACTTGCAACTCAATTTTAAAGTTTTGAACCAAAATTGGTCAAAATTTGGTAACGTGGAAGGCTGGGATGAATTTGCAAGTCAATTTTTGAGTTCAGCACAGTAATAACTGCAGGAAACAATATAAAACTCGACTTGTAAATTTTGGACCAAAATGACTGAATATGGGATGAAAATATGGGTCTAGAAAATTTTGGTGCAAAATGACCCAATATGGGATGAAAATATAGGTCTGGTGTTAAAATGGAAGTGATTTACGTTATCAGCACTCAAAAATCAGCAAGAATCAATGTGCAATTCGATTTAAAAAAATTTGACCCAAAATCGGTTATACTTTGGGTCTGGGGACAATTTAGAAGTCAAAACTGAGGTCAGCGCAGTGAAAACCACAGGTAAGCGCGTAACTCTCAACTTGGAAAGTTTCGCCCCCAATTGCGTAGCTTTAGATGAAAGTGTAGGTTTGGCATTGAAATAAATGTAGTTTTTGTGACTAGTACACTGAAATCTACGGACAACAATCTAGACTCAATTACTGTATGTTCTTATTTGTCTTCATGAAGCACCCTCTGTCGTCACCAATTCCCTGATGCCACACCAGTGCGTATCCTAGTCGAACAATATTCAATTGCCAGCATTGAATCGCTTAATTGACAACTCGCATGCATGGGTCACTATTCAATATCTCTTTTTTCTAAAGTAATGAATTCACAATTGTGTGCAATAATGGGTAGTATTTAAGTTTTGTTGCGATTTTGCGATTTTTGCGATTTTGCGATTAATCGCATGAAATCGCGATATGTGAGAAATCGCAATCGTGATACTAAAATTTGGAAATCGCCCGTCCCTATCGACCAGTGACAGTGAAGATGAAGAATCAGAAGTTGATGCAGACTTAAAAGATGGTAAGTTTACTGTAGCAACATGCCGCTTTTTAAGAGAGTTGTACAATTGTACCTCTATCCCTTTCTTATTTGTCTTTCCTTCATTCAGGAGTTGCCGAAGAAGGCACAACTGCATCATGGACTTGGTTGGCGAACAAAAATGTGACACCTTGGCCTAGAGTGCTTTCTGCGTGGAATGAGGCGTATTAAGGAATTGCAGAAACCTGAAGCTGAATCAGAGGCAACATCAAGTAAACAGAAAAACATCAAGAAGAAAAAGAAGTCAAATGATGTCTTACACTGAAACTTATCCTCAGATTACAGAGCCGCTTCGTTGGACTTTGGTAAGTTGTTCCATAAAACATTGTCACTTTATTGACAGTGAATTATTTTCGTCATTTTTATAAACCTCTGTTGCATTTAATTTCCTTTCCAGTTGGCGAGATTGACTTTGAATATATATTCAGGAAAATGCACTTATGAAAATGGATCTTGGTTAGCAGAAACTCGAGAAATTCGTCCTTCAGAAATTGAAATGAATCATCAAAGATGACCATTTTGCCCTTCGCCCTTCCTGGACGGGGCAACGGCAACAGATCCGGGCTTGGCCAGGCTGCACTGTGGCGAAAAGCTACGGAAAATTCTGTTAACAGCTTGTGGTAATTCTCCGTAGCCCCCTTGTCAATATTCTCCGTAGGCTCTTACAGAATTTTCCGTAGGACCGCACAGTATTCTCCGTTGGAATTTTCCGTAGGACTATACAGTACAGTGTTCCAGGTAGAGATGTGCGATCATGTTCGCATTCGAGCGAACTCGAACGAACAGCGGGACTGTTCGGTTCGCTCGAACCCGAACTCGCGGTGTTCGACCCCGAACTGTTCGAAAAAATGAACAGATTATGTTCATGCCTGAACACGCGACCCTCGCGCGTGGCGCCTCATTTTAGTCTTTCAAATGACGCAACGCAACGGCGGGAGTCTCCTGGCCAATCAGTGTTGCGTTCCCCCACCTCTCTCTTCATTCTGCCCCGCCTTTCTCTCCTCCCCCCTTCCCCCCGCATAGACCAGCTGACTGCCGAGCGGACAGACCGCGGACAGGTGTCAACTTTGACAGACGGAGACCAATTTCACACAACCAGCGGGTAAATATGCAATGACAGGATTAGAGATCTTAACTTTATCTTCATTTATTTCAAATCATTTTAACTCAAAACACTTCAACAAATATCTATAGTTGCGGAAAACGCTTTCCACTCGCAACACATGTGTAGGGAGGGGTTAGGTTTCCCATAGTCAATTAGTTTTTTTCTTCCAGGGACTCACTCTTCTGTTCACTATGAATGAACAAATCCAAGAGGAGTTCTTCGAGGATGATCCGGCGGAGACCGTTCTGCGGCCCGCTTCGCGTGCCCAGCAGCAGCAGTCGACATTGACTTCTTTCTTCCAACAAACTCATCCCAGTGAACGACCTGCAGATAAGCCTGAAGAAGCTCAAGTCACTGCTGCTCCTGAAACAACAAGGCAACATCAGGAGGGCAACATCTGGAACTTCCAGGTCGTACGGAGAATACTGTACGGCCCTACGGAGAATATTGATAAGAGGGCTACGGAGAATCCTGCCAAAATAATTAACAGAATTCCGTACCTTTTTGCCACAGTGTGGCTTCACCGCCGCGAACGAGTCATCGCGACTTCAAAGCCTCAAGCCTCAGCGTGCCTCGGCCTTTTGACCCTGCTCCCACCGTGCTGCCCGCCCTGCCCCTGGAGACGCCGCAAACTCGACCTCTTCCCGCCGGCCCAAGCAAGACGGGCCGCCAATCTTGTTTACACGGATGGCCATGACGTCACAGCAGTCCGGCCGGCCGGCCCCGCGTGAGGCTGCCGTGCCGGGCGGCCGCCTCCAATGCGCACTACACGCACCGCCGCCTCGCCACCGCTCTGACGTGTGTACCAGACAAACGATGCCAATTTGGGAACCGCCTTCCGGCTGTTCCTTTGCGGTTGCGCTTTTTCGTGGAAAAACAACCGTCCTCCCTAAAGAAGTCAGTGCGAGGCAGTAAAATAAAGACAAATTTTCTCTTACAAAAAAATGGAAGTAATCTTTAATTGTCAAAATTAATCGATAGTCACACAACTATATTCATAACAAGGTAGGTGTACGCCAGACAGTGGCTTGTAACAGGCTTCCCGATGCTGCGCCAGTTTCGACAATCCACGCCTGGCGCTAACACCTACCTTGGCCTGCGGCGCTGGCCTGCCTTCGGCGGACTCTCTCGCCACACATAGCCACACGAACAGACCTGATCGCACATCAAAGCAGCATTCGGATCCAGCTTTTATGCGGGGGGGACCCCCCTTCCATGTACGGGGCGACGAGGTTGGTTCGTTGGTCAAACTGTATGTCATTTTTTGTTTGACTCTCCTTAAGTTCTGGCTCACAAGATACTAAATTTGAACTTGTGGGCAAGTTGGGTCGTCGACACACAGCCATATGCGCAAATCTCCTAGCCACCTGGGCTATAAATTTAGACATGTGCGTGAGCTCAAAGCAAAAATCACCCAAATCATTAATTTCGCCTCAGATGTACGGATTTCAACGACACAATAGCAAATTTCGCTGTCCAACGGGTCGATGTATTCCATTAAGTGGGCTGGTACAGTGGCCTTCTGCAACCCACTGGGTGCAAGTGGAGTCTCTGTACATTGGGTGGCAAAATTTCGCATGCCCATGGGGTTTAAAAATTTGCAACATGTTTTACAGTGAGGCTTCGCCATCGCGCAGCCACTCTACAAATCAAAGAGTGTACATGGCATGCTCCAGTTAGAGCATACTATGTACACTCTTCGATTTGTAGAGCAATCAGTCTTTTGAAGGGAGGACTCCTGGCGAAGCAGGCGGTTCCAGGCTGCGGACGAAGGAAGCGGCCGAAGCTGTTGCGGGTCTTCAGGGCTCGATGTTCTGCAGGATCCAGGGCACGTAGTACGCGACCTTGGTGTAGACGCCGGGGGTGCCCTTCGTGGCGCAGTGTGTGGGCCCGAAGGACACGATGCCCTGCTGCACCACGCGCGGCGTGCCCTTCACCTGGCCGGCCGTGGTCAGGGGGCCGCCGCTGTCGCCCTGGCACGAGTCGCCGGTGGAGTCGCCGGCGCACATCTGCTTCTCGCTCGAGATGACCAGCTGCCGCGGCACGTACGCGCTGGCGCAGTCCTGGGCCCTGGACACGGGCACGCTCACCTTCATGAGCACCTTGCTGCCGCCCGCTGCGAGGAGAACCAGGGTCAGTGCCACCAGCACGGTAAAAACTTCGTCGTGTTTCACAAGGACCGGTCACCTCAGCTAAGGGTCGTGGCCCCTGGTCCTTAAGGAGACGCCTCTGACTAAGGCAGCTCCTTAGCCAAACTAGCGCTGCGCGTTCGTTTCCACGTCCGCCATTTTCAACCTCACATTTGCTAATTGTAGGAATTCAGAAAATAAACTAATAGAGCACAACGTAATATGTTTTCTCGCGTAAAATTTAACGCTGAATCCGGTTCTGTACTCGCTTTTCCAAAAAAAAGGAAGGATCGCGGAAAGAAATTGGGATAACGTTTACGCTGCGGCGCTGGGACGACGTGAATGAACTAGATCATCCAGAGGCAAACAGGCACTCGAAATGAAAAAATCGCACTTTTTACCTTGGTATTTTATGAAATTTAACTACTTAGTTGGTTAAATTCGTCTGTTGAGCGTGAAGCATCGGTGTAATTAGGTTAAAGTCTCAACATGTCGACATGTAAACAAACGCTTGGGTAAGGAGCTACCTTAGCCAGACGGGTCTACCTAAGGACCAGGCGCCAAGACCCTTAGCTGAGATGACCGTTCCCTTTAAAACACGACAGAGTTTTTACCGTGTGTCGGTCAAGACAGAGAGCAACGCACGATGACCTTGGCGTCCCTTACCTCCAATCCCGTTGGCCACGCGACCCCAGCCGGCCACCATCACCTTCTTGCCGGTCAGGTCCTTCTTCTGGTCCTTGGCGTCCACCGGCAGGCAAATGGGCTTCACGAAGTCTGCAACGCGAACGGACGTCAGCGAAACTGAAGTGTGTACTCAGTATGCGTCTACAGATGCATACTTAAACAAGGTAGGTTTACGCCAGACCACGTCTTGTCGTAACAGGCTTCGCGATGTCTCGCTGCCTGTTCCTCCAATCCGCGCCTGGCGTACCTACCTTGGCCTGCGGCGCTAGCCTGCCTTCGGCAGGCAATGGCTCGTCCATTGTCCTCAATTTTTTAACTTGTTGCATGCTGGGGGGCTCCGCCCCCCAGACCCCCCTACATTCTAGACAGAGTTGCTTCATCTACAGATAACACGATCTTGACCCTTGGAACTTTTTAACTTGCCGAGGCTGGGGGGCTCCACCCCCAGACCCCCTTTCTCCAAGACAGGAGTGATCTATCTGCAGAAAACTCGATTTTTCGCCCTTTTTTATGTGATTTTCGACTATAAAAACTGAAACAGTTGAGCTAGGATGGTGAAATTTCGCGTGTGCCGAGCCAAGGACATACCTAAAAAGTGTGCAAAATCTCACCAAAATCGGTCAAGCCGTTTAGGAGGAGTAGTGCGGACACACACACACACACGCACGCACGCAGACAGGAAAAACTTTTCAACCCCACCTGAGTAACTGGCTTCGCTATCGCTCAGCCAATAAGTACACATCTACAGATGCGTACTTAGCTGAGTACACATTTACAGATGCGTACTTAGCTGAGTACACATGTACAGATGCATACTCAGCTGAGTACACGTCTACAGATACATACTTGGCCCAGTACACACCTACAAACGCATACCTAACTCATCCACACTGTAAATCCAAAGGCAATACTTTTAGAACCTTTTTTGGCGATACAATTGAGTATCGCAAATAAACGGCCTTACGGAAAAGTATTGCCTTCAAAACGTCGATACACAAAAGTATCGCCAAAATTTGGCGATACTTTGGAGTACTGCCACGATTTGGCAGTAAACGTTGAACAAAACAAGGGGACAAGACCTTGGTTTAATGCCGTGGTTTTGGCAATATCCAAAAGTATTGCAAAATTTTGGCGATACGTTTTTGTATCTCCGTTCTGAAGGCAATGCTTTTCCGTAAGGCCGGTTTATTGGCGATACTCGATTGTATCGCCAAAAAATGTACTTTAGTATTGCATTTGCAGTGTAGGAGCAGGTGTGCTCATTATCAGTTCGGGTGAGTTGTCTGTTCGACGGAGACTCCGATGGACTTGGTTTGTGAGAAGAAAAGGGGGCGGGTCTTTGCTGGTAAGTCGCTCGGCCGGAGGGCCACAAAGACACTCGAGGCTCGAAACGAAAACGCGTAACTCTAATTAGCCCGGAGACTCTCAAAGCACAAGCCGAGTCAGCCAGGCGGGCGGAGAGGATTAGGAGGAGAGAGAGGGGGGGGGGGAGTAGAAGAAGCAGCAGGCTGCAGGTCATAGGGCCCGTGCAATACGCGAAATATGGCGGAACGAAAGTATGGCAAATTCACGAACTGAGACCAGCAGACGACGCCAGCAGGAGCTTATAACTGGAGATATTTAAATATCCTGAGCATTTTCTCCCAGATCAGTGCTAAGGATTCGTTCTTTAGCACATAAGCAGTACTCCGTGAGGTTATTTATCACAAAATTCCTTCAAAGGGTCGAAAAATCGAGTTAAGTTAAGGTCCCAGCCTCCAACCCCGTTTGAACTGCCGCGGTTCTTGCCGTCAAGGGTAGTTTTAGAAACTATCTCTGGATGTATCTGGAGCACATTGAGTTAAAGAAAAAAAATTTCGGATTCCAGAAACGGTTTTGTTCTATTCGAGATGCAAAGTGTGTGCGAGATTCAGTCCATTTTCTTGGCATCGGCTGCTGTAGACTCAGTTCGCGAGAGAACGTTTTCGTGTCCTTTACCCGGCAGTGACATAACGGTACGCCAATGCACAGGCCCTATGTTGGAGTCCCAGAAAGCGCGGGAAGGAGGGGGCAAATACGCACTGCAAGCATGCTGCAAGCACGGCGCTCTCGGCGCCAGCAGCGGAGCGCCAAGTTTCCCTCGCCCAGCAATCGGCGCGAGAAGGCTCTTTGGCGGCGCTGCTCGGGACGCGGATCCCAGGAGCTCCCCAAAAACGCCGTGCCACGTGCTGGGTCGCTGATCAAAGGATCCGCAACTCCTTTTCCTCCTGTCGCGAGGGGGTCCAATGCAGCACGACATTCCCGACCCGGTGGGCTTCTCAGTAAAGAGGAATAAAAGGCTTTGGAGGCCGTCACTTTTCATTTGACGGGTGAAGGGAAGCACCCTGTTGGGGATTTTGAACGTTTGACGTGCCCGGGGTTAGTGCCCTTTGGCTAGTCCCCCCTCCCCTTTTCCCCATTTGCCGCCCGGAGGCGCTCCTGCGACGCGCTGGTGGCCTCACCGGTGAATTCGACGGTCGCGGCCAGGCGCAGCAGCGCGATGTCGTCCTGGAGGCTCTTCTCGCCGTAGTTGTTGTGCTTGATGATGCGCTCGATGACCACGTCCACGGGCGGCGGCGCGCACACCTGCTTGCCCGACACGAAGGAGCAGTCGATCTCGGAGGAGGCGTCCTGCTCGCCCAGGCGCACCGACACCCTGCGCAAGGACACCGTCAAGGACCCCGTCAAGGACACCGTCAAGGACCCCGTCAAGGACACCGTCAAGGACCCCGTCAAGGACACCGTCCAGGACCCCGTCCAGGACCCCGTCCAGGACCCCGTCCAGGACCCCGTCAAAGAGGGTCTAGGACAATTCGTCCCCGATTGGTCCCCGGACTATTCGTACCCCCCATTTCGTCCCCAGGACAATAGGTACCCCACACTGTTCGTCCCCAAAATATGACTGGTCCCTAGACAATTTGCCCCTAAATAACGTTTTTCAGAATTTCATTTGTTTACTTCAAAACTTAAAGAAAGAACAGGTGCAGCCAAAAATTTTTATATATTCTCCGTCACGTTGTGGCCGATGGCGCGCAGGTAGGACAGGATGTCGTCTGCCTCGTGGTAAGTGTCGTAGCGATCTACAACACTCCTATACACTAGTAGCTAGTAGCCAACGAACGTGACGGCACGTTCGTATTCACGTGATAACGGCGAAAATTTACATACAAACGAATGTGACATACGGCAACGCTTTGTCACATTACTCCGGGTGTGACACTCAATCAGCTGGAGAACTGTCAAATTAAAACGAATGTGACACCCACGTACTGTGACATTCCTTGTAATGTGACATGCTCAAATTTTCTTGTTCCTTTGAATGTGACACGCCATGATTGTCGGATTATGGGGTGTCACGTTCGATTGAATGTGACAATTCGGGCATGTCACATTGGAACGAATGTGACAGTTCACGTGTATCACATTCGTTTGGATGTGACACGACATAAATCAAGAGGTACCATGCGTCACATTCGTGGTAATGTCTTGGTCCGGCATGGGGACCGTCCCGGCTGGGACCATTCTAAAAACGGGGACACGTTTGGGGACCAATTTGAAAGGGGGACCAATTATTTTACCGGGGGCGAATCGTTTGCGGACCCACAAGTCCCTGTCAAGGACCCCGTCAAAGACCCCGTCAAAGACCCCGTCAAAGACCCCTTCAAGGACCCCGTCAAAGACCTCGTTAAAGACCGCGCGTCAAAGACCAGTCAGCCGGCGAAAGGCAGCCAGAGGGAGGCAAGGAGGCAGTCAAACGGGTGATTTCTCGCTCTGTCTCTCTCGCACTCTTACGGAGAGCCCCAGACAGAGACAGAATCTTCTGAGCCGCTGGGCAGGGAGGCGAGGAGGCGCCAACTCACGGGATGAGGCCGGTGTCCTCGTTGATGCAGTGCGCGGCCGTGAGCACGTAGCGGTCGCTGATGAGGCTTCCGCCGCACTTGTAGTCGAACACGTCGGAGTAGTCATCCCCTGCGGCAGGCACACACTGTCAACCCTTGAGCCGGGACTGTGTCATGACATCAATTCCAAAGAAAAGGACAGCACTGTGCGCCACGTGACCCGTTAAGCCGGGTTACGTAGCAGAACACGATTACCGTGCCCGGCACTTCACTGTCCTGTACAGGGAAATTTCCCACTACTCCGTGGTACAGAATCCCGTACAAACGTAGATCCTTAAAAAGGCAGTCCTGTACTCTGACCCACAGTGACAGCTGTACTAATCCTAGATTCGGTTTTTCCACAGTGAGCCATGGCCGTTTGTCGCTCCGCTCTCTCACACCCCTTCGAAGGGGTGAGAGCGGAGAGCGACGAACCAGAGGCGGGGAGCTTTTTGAGGGGTTGACTTACGGTGGTAGCCCAGGCGCGCCATCCAGGGTAGCTCCATGACCTTGGCCTCACTGCCGCTGATGATCCTGTCGGCGCTCACGCGGCCGCACTCGTCCAACGGCAGCAGCCGAAGGTTGGCGGTGGCCAGCTCGGCGGGGCTGCCGGACGCGGAGGGCGGCGACCCGCCGGCCACGCTCGGCCCGCTGGGGCAGCACACCTGCAGTCGCAAAGTATACTCCATCGGCACCGAGGGCAAACAAGTGGACTCGTCTTTACTCCGCACCACTGTGTAAAAAATCACGTACTTTTGTACGGAAATGGTACAGACAAATATAGTACGGAGGTACGGAGAAAAGTACGGAACGTTCCGTTCTTGCTCCATATGAACCCATGTAAATGGGTACGGAAAAAAGGTACGGAGCGTTCCGTAGTTGGCAAGTACGGACGGTCCAGGCAAATTAATGACCAGACATGTTCCGTACTTTTTTCTCACAGTGCACTGTGCGGGGTGCTCGGCCCCAGCGAAGGGAGGCTGCTCTTGCGCGCGGAGCGGAGTAGCCACGCGACAGGAATCGCTTTCCACAGACAAAAGCGTGAAGGTGCCTACCATGGGGTGCACGCCGGCGAAGCCGCAGTGCGCCTGCTGCAGCTGCAGCACGTCCTCGGGGGTGGGCTGCTTGCCGCGCCGCGCCAGCCCCGACAGCGCCGCGCAGTCCTGGAGGGGCAAGCAGGCCCGGCCGAGGGGGCACTGCCGCTCGCCTGCCACTGCGGGGCACCACAGCGCCGTCAGTCAACAAGCACCTTCATTTTGAACAAATGCCGTCACTGGCTCTCTCACACCCCTCCACGACGCCCGATGAGAGTGTGAGAGAGAGACAGAGACCTTGGAGTAAAGGTCTATCCACAATTGGGCGGATGCAGGTAAACCTGAACGAGGTTTGACACCTACCCTCACGGAAATGGCTCGAAACAGTCTTAAATCATAGGTCTGTGTCTAGACTTTTTGTTTTTTGGTCCATTTTGGTAAAATTAGTAAATTGAAAATTTGCATTTTTTATTTTTCGAAATAGGAATTTTGGAGGCCTAATTTGTTTGATTAGAGCTGTCATAATATAGATCAATGTAATTTGGTTCATAGACCCCACCTCAGTCAATTTACACTGGAGGCTGAGAAATTTCTATTAGTTTTAGCGAAAAGTCAAAATAGCAGACCTTGCCCCACCTTTTAAATCTATTTCTATGCACTACAAACCTAACTGTCTACTAAGTACACACTTACAAATGCGTGTTTGCAAGTACACACTTACAAACGCATGCTTGACGCATGGAGTTATACGGCGTCAAGCATGCGTTTGTCAGTGTGTACTTGCAAGCATGCATTTGTAAGTGTGTACTTGGCCAAGCATGCGTTTGTAAGTGTGTACTTGCAAGCACGCATTTGTAAGTGTGTACTTAGTAGACAGTTAGGTTTGCAGTGTGCATGAGAATTTACCTTAATGTTGTTGTAACAACATATTAAAATTCTGTGATGGAGTTTTTTTCATTTTAAGGAAAGCGTTCCAGAAAGCGCAACTTTTAACTTGTCGATTAAACCATAACGCTTGAAATTTCACCAAATGAAAAGTACCATGAGGTCAATCTTGCTATTTTAGCCTCTTTATGGGCAGTATCAAAGTGCTAAGGAGTTTGAGGGGAGTAAAAAAAAAAAAAACATAAATACAATGTGCAAGTACTACAAACACCAACTTTTGACAGCTTTTTAATAGGAAGCCAAAGAAAATATAATACGTCTTCAGTGTACTTGAAACCAAAGATGAAAAAACAAATAAACATCACTAAGATGCCCTCCAATTGATCTCTAGCTTCTATAACCTGGTTCATTCGAATAACTACAAAGCATTTGGCATTTGGATCAAACACTGAGAATCCTGCAAAGAGCAAAAAATACAAGTTAATAACAGTGCAATGAACATAACTTCAAAGAGAGGCGTTGGGGAAGTTTGAGATCTTACCTTGGACCAATAGGATGATGTTGCCTTTAGAACACACAGCATTCTCCAAAAATTCAGAATCAGAGTCACAGTCCTAAAAAATAATAAAAAAAACTTAAAACAATCAAATCAAACTAAACGAGCAGAGAAAAGAGCACAATCACCGATCCTTTGCAAGCTGGAAGAAGAAGCCATGCATCTCACGCATGTAAGTAATGATCATGAAAAAAAAAGCACTGAACCTGTTGGGAATCTGGCTCTCCATGTTCTCCACAGCGCCTTGGGCTTCCGAAAAAACTTTCAGCTGCTCAGCTCGGCATTGCTACGAGGACTCTCACAGCAGTAACTGTTGAAGAAGCCTATCAGATCAGGAGTCATCTTGTCCAGCTGCGCCGCCCACAAGTTCTTCATTTCTTTGTTGAACATGATGAATCAGTAGGTTCGCAGACCTTGGGCACAGCCACCTCACAAACACATCATTAAGCTTTGGTACAGTCTTGCAGCCAAGAATTTCAGACCTTTGGGAAGAATGTCTTTGCAAATAACGAAACCGCATAGGCTGATGACAAGTCCTTAGATTGTGATAGGTGCTCTCTCTTCCGCACTGTGAAGTACGGAACATGTCTGGTCATTAATTTGCCTGGAACGTCCGTACTAGCCAACCACGGAACGTTTCGTACTTTTTTTCCGTACCCATTTACATGGGTTCATATGGAGCTACACTGTTAGGGATTTTGTTGTAAAATAACGAGTAATTCCCTGTTAATTCTATAGGACAAATTGTTCGTAATTTAATGAGGACAGTCGTTATAATTCAAATCTTCAACCATATCATTTTCAGGTTGGTCTCGGTTTGCCTCGACGAAAAAACGTGAAAATAGAACTAATAATGTACCTTGAAAATTTTACGACTTTCTTTGTAAATTTACGATTTTTCTTTGTAATTTAACAACCTTTTGTAATTTTACGAACAATTTGTCCTATAGAATTAACAGGGAATTACTCGTTAATTTACAATTAAACTTGTTAAATTACGATAATGCTTGTAATATGACAACTTTCGTTCGTGTAATGACGACATTCTTCGTAAAACTACAGCTAAAGTTCGTAATTTTACAAGATTGACCGTAAAAATCTGTGTAAAATTGTGAAATTTTTCTTTGTTTTTGGCCAAGAACGAATACGTTCGTAAAATAACGATTTTATGTTGTAAAATTACGATGGTATTCATGTAAAATAAAGTTGTAAAAATACGACTTCCCCTTACAGTGTAGTACGGAAAGTTCCGTACCTCCGCACTATATTTTTCTGTTCCATTTCCGTACAAAAGTACGCAATTTTTTTACACTGTGCTCTTGCGTTTCCAACGTCTCGTCAGATGGTAGCGAGGGATTTACGTTCTCACAGCCATTAGAGCTGTCATCAATTGCGCGTGCTTTAGCCTGAGGTTCCAATTCATCAGGGTTATCAATTTCTTCTTCAAAAGCACTACTTTTCTTCTTTGGCCACGTCTTGGTGTGTTCTCAGACCTCTTACTGTAGTTAACAGCATTGTATGTGTATGACAGATAAAGTCAGCAAGGCCATCACTACACTGTAAAAATTATGTTGTGAATTTACGACGGATTATTTTACGAAGGTTTTAGGGAATGTCCAAAAGTGCACTGTAAATGTTTTTTTCCTACAGGAAGTTTTGTAAATCAACGGAAGTTCGTCGTTAATTTACGAAGGTTCTTTGTAAATTTACGAAGAAAATTCGTAAATGTACAAAGTTTGTTGTAAATTTACGAAGCCCTTCGTAAATTTACGACGGGCTTCGTTAATCTACGACGGGTCTTCGTAAATCTACGGCGGACCTTCGTAAATAAACGAAGGATCTGTTGGCAATTTTTTTGCCGAAGGATCCGTCGTTAATTCCAGACGTATAATTACGAAGGTTCTCTGTATATTAACGAAGGGTCTTTGTTTATTAACGAAGGTTCCCTGTAAATTTACGAAGGATCTTTGTAGATTTACGAAGGTGCTTCGTAAATTTCCATTGTGATTGTAAAATCGACAGAGATCGTCCATAAAATTAACGAAGGTTTTTGTAAATATACGAAGACCTTCGTAAATTAACGAAGGAACCGTTGGCAATTTTTTTGCCGAAGGATCCGTCGTTTATTCCGGACATTAATTTTTACAGTGTAAAAAAGTGATCATTTACCCGTTTCTCAAAAACCGGTTTAAATTTACCATTTTGTTCCTTTCGGAAATCCTTGACTTTCTTCAGGATGTGAGAGGCGACTTCTTCCTGTGCTGCCGTCAAAGCTGCCTTTCTGCGTCGGACCAGATCACAAGGAAGAGGCTGTCTTCTCATTGCCTCCAAAACCGGTTCAAAAATCTCGTTAAGGACTTTGATCTTTCTTTGTTTCGGTTACGGCTGGTTAGAACGTTCTGCGGCAGAGGGCGTGGGCTCCTCTCAATCTCAATTGGCTTTGATTTATTTGTAGTGATATCCTAAGGGCGCCAGGAGCAAAGCTCCACCAAATAGAGAGGCCACAATGTAAATGCAACAAACATTTGCGGTCTGGACCACGTTTGGTTTTTCAGTGTTGAACCGTAAAATGCGGACGTGCTCTGCAAACTCAACAGTATGCTCAGTACACTCAATTCGGCGTGCACAGTCCTGCGGGAGTGTGCTTTGCTAGAGTGTTCAGATCAGTACACACCTTGGTTCTTGTAATGCAGCTGAGTACACGTTCGTGGGAGTGTACCCGTGAGCACACGCGAAAGATAGAGTCCTCCAGGGAAGAGAACTGCGAAGCCCTGAAATGCTACGCGCACGCTTCTCATACTTGGCGGTTTGCTATGCGTATATTCTCATCTTCCGTGAAAAATGGCGGTGCGTCCGTGGAAAATGGCGGCAGTTGCGTGTTGTTGACGTTTACAACAGACCCTACTTTACGCACAATTCTTGTAACCCATGCTTCAGGAAATCACTCATGATGCACAATAACCTACAATATGCATTCAAATTGTTCTCACTCCCTTCGTAAAACCCACACTGTGTTCCATCTTTGAATCATGCCGCTGATTTCCGTGGAAAATGGCGACTATGAGAAATTACGCGTACAAATCTAATGGACGCAGTTCGCAGTTCTCTTCCCTGGAGGACTCTAGCGAAAGAGAGGCCTTCACCCCATTTTCCGTAACATACGCCGGAGTTAATTGAAGTGTTTCTTTTATTTTTTATTTTTTTAGAGCCTCGGTTTTATTTACCCTGCGCATCGGTCCGCAAAAACTGTTTCCTTTAAATTTGAAAAAAAAAAAAAAAAAAAAAAAAAAATTCTACAGCAATTTGTGAACACTGCCGAGAGATCTGTGAATAGGACATAAGTCACAATTACGATCCATATGTAATTCTGAAATCCCATGTGTTCTTTCTTCTGTTGCAGCTCTTGGACCTCAACGAACTGCATCCGGTCCAGCCCTGCTTGGGAACACTGTCGGCGGTTTCCGTGCTTTTCATTGAGTATTGATATGGTTGGCCAGCCTTTCACTGAAAAATCCTCCAGAAGTGTTCCAAACATAAAACATGGGATAGGAACGAGCTCCTTACTTTGTAATGTAAGAAATTGTTGTTCATTTACACTTCTGAATTTGTTCAAAATCGCAAGGCCAACCTTTTACGGCCAGACGGTATGCGCTAAACAAGTATTTGAAAATTCTATCAAATTCATGCTTAGGAAAGTCTCTGGATCGAGAGATTGTTAAGTACTTTTAGACTCATTAAATTCAACTTGGGAGAAGACTTAGAATTTCAAAGAAGTATTCCCAGAAGGGCCCACTTCAGAAAAAAAAACAACTTTAAAACTACACTGTAAGTCCAAGTGTGGGACAGGCATACAACGTGGAACAAACCGTGTCCCAGTTTGTCCCACCGTATCTAGTGGATACCTGTCCCACACGGGTTTGCAGTGTGAAAAGCGTCAGTTATTTCAATTCAATGCTTAAGTTTCAGAAAGTATTGCTTTTAAAATATTCGTTGCGTTCTAGGTGACTGACTTAAAACCAAGGGGGTGAATCACTGTAGTGTACCCATGTGTACAAATTGGCCCGTTTTCAGTTTACTCACAAGTTGAGAAAGAGCTAAGCTCGAAAATTCTTAGCACGATGTGGCGTTGTGTGTCATCTAAAACACCAAATAAAGCCTTAAAACGTTCCTACACCCAAAGTTTTTCAGTTTCGTAAGGTGTTCTCACCCGTACTCATGTGTACACGAAAACGCTGAGTGGGTCACCCCTCGCTTTATAAGGGCCCCTCTTATGAAGTTTATTATTTGTTGACTGATAGGCAACGTGTATTGGAAATTTTCCGTAATGTGGCGTCCTTTAGTACAGGCTCAAAAATATTTTTAGACTGAAGAAAAAGCACTTAGTAAACTTTTTCAAACAATAAGCATCTCGTATGAAATGAAGCATAGTGGACAATTCCTTAATCTCGTGTACAATCGCTGTGGTAGATTCAGAAGCTGGAGGCTGGATATGAGAATGTTGAGTTCAAATCAATAGGGTACTTCGGAGGAAATCTAGACCGGAAGTCAGAGACGGAACGGGTGGGGTCCGGGATGGGCAGAGTGGGGGCAGCATGCGCCCGCCGCCTTCACCCCCACTCCGTCGATTTCGACCCCCTCCACCGCTCAGCACGGCCTCGCGACGGCTATATTTGACACCGTACCCGGCCCTTGGCCGACCCGGCCAGAAGGGGCCTATGAGGAGGCTAGCTCCCTCTCATGAGAAATTAGATGTAGCTCATGCCGCCTTGGCGCGCTCAACAGGCCACTGTCAAATGTTTGCAGCGTAAATATTGCAAGAAGCAATATTTACAAAAGCCGGCCGTGTGGATTTACGATAATAAGGTAGGTTAACGCCAGCCCGCGTCTTGTCGTATCAGGCTTCGCGATGTCTCGCTGCCTGTTCCTCCAATCCGCGCCTGGCGTACCTACCTTGGCCTGCGGCGCTAGCCTGCGTTCGGCAGGCAATGGCTTGTCCATCGTCGGTTACTTCTAACTTGTTGCATGCTGGAGGACCCCCCTTTGTTCTAGACAGAGTTGCTTCATCTACTGATAACACGATCTTGACCCTTGTAACTTTTTACCTTACCGAGGCTGGGGGGCTGCCCCAGGCCCCCGTTTCTCCAAGGCAGAAGTGATCTGTCTGCAGAAAGCTCGATTTTTCGCCGTTTTTAGGTGTTTTTCGGCTATAAAAACTGAACCAGTTGAGCTGGGATAGTGAAATTTCGCGTGTGCGGAGCCAAGGACATACCCAAAATGTGTGCAAAATCTCACCGAGATCGGCTGAGCCGTTCAGGAGGAGTAGTGCGGACAGACACACACACACACACACACACAAAACTTTTCAACCCGACTGGAGTAACAGGCTTCGCTATCGCTCAGCCAATTAAAACTTAATTGCAAGAACTCCATTCAAAGAGCTGAACACTATTTACAATGACAAAACTAGTGTAAAGAGGACAAGTCGAGGACGCGGCGGAACGGCCAATGAAGCGAAATTTCAACGTTAAAAATCAGGGCGGGGACGTCACGAGCGAAGGCCACGCGTAACACGCGGCCGTTGCCTCCTCGAGACGCCCCAGAATTTAGATACAAATTAACACACGCGAAGCGTCTGCCGTGTCCCTGACTCTCACACCACTGCACCATTAATCCTCTCGACGACTTAGAAGAGAGGGTTTCCGGAGAGTGCCGCGCGAG